TTCTATAAACTAGAGATTGGCTATTAAACAGATATCAGATTCCAGATGATGTTGGAGTCTGCTTATAATATTGCAGAGTTATTCGTATGTATTACATTATACCGATTACAGTGTCGTTCTCCATACTTTAAACACGTAACGCCTGAATCTGAACGCTTTAAATAGTTTGACATTTACTGCAACCGTTTTTTCTGCAGCTTTTAGTGCTAGGGTATATAGCATTTAAAAAAATTGTAAAATATATTTTAACAGCTCATTTATGGTATTTATTGCTGTTAAATACCTTAAGCTGTTCAGTGGAAACTTAGGAGGAGTGGATTATAAGCATTTGCAAGGATTATAATTTTATTACTTATTTTGTAGAGGCCAATCCCTTCACCCATTCTTTACATATGGGGCCAAACTGCTCAGATTATATGAAACCACTAATTTGGGCGGGTGAGTGGGTGGATATAAAAAAGCAGTACAGTTTTATACTACCTTTCAAATATATATATATATATATTATATATTTTAAAGAAATACTGTTCTTTAAAAAAACAAAATGATAAGCAGACAGAGCCTTCTAGGCATCACCTGAGTAAACTCAGGAAAGTATGAGCATCAATTCTTTGCCCCTCACTCTGAAAACAAATGAAAACATTTAAGCCAAACCCTCAAAAAAAAAAGCACACAATTCTGCAAATGTATAAATATTCAAAGGGATTGCCTCCTAAAGTTTACACAAGATAGCAAATGATCTTCAACTTGTGCCTTGTGTTGCTATCCACAGAAGGCCCCATTTGTAACTAAGAGGAAATACCGGACAAAGTTTTGAATGCAAAATTATGGAAGATATTCCAGTTTGCAATTTTACACATAAACTAAGACAGCTCATATATTCATTTTTCTTCATAATTTCATTTTCTTTCATAGGCAGATACAATTCACATCTATGATAAAGGTAGGGGTTTTTTTTCCCGCATTGCTTAATTCATAGAGTCTGCATTAAATTTCACTCATTATCTTAAAATTTTAAATCACAGATGAAGAAACTTTTTGTGTGTCTCCCATTATTCGGCTCAATTTCACCTGACAATTTCCTAATGAATTTCATTTCATAACTTTTAATTTTTATGCCATTTTGAAATATCTAATGACCGAACTATGATTGCATGACAACATAGATTTAAATATGAATATATCTATTTTTAATACAATTTGGGCGAAGATATCAACTAACAAGAAGTAAACAATATGCCAATCAAGGAACTACAAACTCAGACAAACGAGCTGAAAGTAAATAATAGCCTAATCAAGGAATTAAGACCACTCCCATCAACACTGATAGGGCAAACCATTAGTTTATAAAATAGAGAAAATTCTACTCCGTTTTAGCACTGATGATGTTACCTAGTTCGGTGATGAAACATTTGCAAGAAAACAACCGAGCTCAGACAACCCCAAGACCCCACAAATGTTCTCTTCTATCAAAGACATAATTTAAAAAATGTATTTCATCCAGCTCACGTTGCCTCTTTGCTCTTCTCAATGATACAAACCTGACAATGCCACAATAAAGACTGAAGGGATTTTTCTATTTTTAATGCAGATGATTAAAAGATTTGCTGATACATATCAAACTGCTAGCTATAGGGAGGCTAGCTTCTAAAAAAAAGCTCTTATGGCTCTTGTAGAAAGGTTAATATAAAAACAATATTCTGATGTTTAATGTTTCTTCGGCCCTGCCGTCTATCCCCCTCAAGTCCAAATTCTTTTCTTTGAGCTATGACTTTGTAAGACAAGAACTTTTACCTGTAAAATCAGCAAGTTTCCATCACTGGCTGCTTTCTTAAACAAAGAGACTGCTTAAGAGGGATAGAGGTCTATGTTGACAGCCATGCTGCATACATTTTAGTGTTTGATGCCAGGTTTATGACCATCACAGAAGACAGACACCAGTTTTTCCAATAAACCAAGAATCCTAGTTTCTGCATCAAAAAACACACCTATAAGAGCTTCAAAGAACTCAGTAGATAGGAACGATGGCAATGCCACAACAGTCCAAGTAGTCCTCGACTTACAACAGTTCATTTAGTGACCATTCAAAGTTACAATGGCACAGGGAAAAAGCGACCTATGCCCGTTTTTCACACTTATGGCCGTTGCGGCATCCCCGTTGCGGTCACGTGATCAAAATTCGGATGTTTGTGTCCCAGAGCCATGTGATCAACTTTTGTGACCTTCTGACAAGCAAAGTCAATGGGGAAGAGCCAGATTCACTTAACAATGTGTTGCTAACTTAACAACTGCAGCGATTCCCTTAACAACTGTGGCAGGAAAGGTCATAAAATGGGACAAAATTCACTTAACAAATGCTTCATTTCGCAACAGAAATTTTGGGCTCAATTGTGAGGACGATCTGTATCTAGCAACATTTAAAAATGAGAGGGCATCCTTACTTCTTTAACTCCATGCTGTTAACTCCAACCCTCCCCAACCACTAATTATAAGTCCATTAGAAGGTAAAAAGACAAAGTGCATATTGTTGGACGTGAGGATTAACACATCTTTTTCTCTCTCACTCCCACTGCCTCACGTACATTTTTATGTTTTATAGCTACAAGCATGTCCTTGCAATCTCTGGGTAATGCCAACTGGAATCTCTGATGATGCCGGATAGGAACTCTTAGTCATTTTTTCCAGTGCTCAGGACCCAAGTCATTTGCAATTTCCTTCCCTTTCTCAAGACTTGTAAAACCCACAGCACTCTGTAAAGCAGTGGAAATAAATCACTTTTAGCAAATGCATGTGCAGCTCTATTATGGTGCCTCCATAAGGGACATTCCCATTCCATAAAGGCTCCCGGGTTTCGGACTAGGAGGAATTCGGCAGCAAGATACACCAAAAGACTAAAGGAATAAATGTCGGTCCGTAAAGAGCAAGGCTCCCGGTGAGCCACAAATGAAGAGGAACACCCAGAGAGCCTTTGCAACATGTGCCCAAAGCAACACCAAGTCACTAGCTGGATCTGACCGGCGTAGGATTATGTCATCGTGTCTATCCCACAGTCTCCAAAGAAGGGAAAAGCCCACTTTTCTCAGCTCCCCACTGGGATTTCAGAATTTTTACACAAGCTGCCAAGCATCAATTCGAGACCACAAGAGACAGGACAAAATGTTTTTAAATGGGAGTGAGAAAAAATCTCAGAGCACCAGGACAGAAAGAAGCAGCTGGCAGCCCGTGGACGTAGTCAGAGCCCCAGGAGAAATGCCGGGTGACCTCCCGGCTGCTAACCCACTCTCTGCTTCTGGATGCAACTCTGCAACAGGGAAGAGAACAGCAGGCCCAGGCACAAACAGTTCCCTTTTGGACTTCAGCAAGCTGTCAGGGCAAGCCAAGATCCCCGTCTGAAAACAGGGCTCGGATTTGCCAGGAGAACTTATCTTCCGTTAGCACCTACGCATCCCGCTCTCACAATGCAGACAGCTACCCTTTCTTTGGCTTGCCAATGCTGCACTTCAGAGTATGAGCCTAAATTGTCATCTTGGATGGCAGCCAATGTATTGGCAGCCAACCCACTTCTTTCTCTTATCATAAGGTAGCTGCTCCATCAACAGTGTTGAGCTGCAGAGAATGTAATACACAATGAGAACCACAGGCCCCATGGAGCTGCACACAGAAAACCAGGAACGTGCTCTGGTTGTTTCACTGTGTGTGTTCCACAATACTCCGGAAACCATGCATGAGAGGTCCTGATTGATCCTTCTGCTGGTCTAGGCATGACAAGAGCCCACAAAAGTCATGCTGTTGCCTAGATGGCCAACTCCCTGAAGTTATTTATGCCTTTCCCTGGAGCATAAAAATCCCCTCCCTCTCCCCCCCCCCCAAGATTTGTATGGAGATTTCATCCTTAGCTCTTATGACTAATGAGGGAGGCCTACAACTACATGCTTCAATCTCTTCACCCTTAAGAGGTGTTTCTTCTATTCAAAGTCCCAGTCACTCTGAACAGAAACCTGACATGCTGCTCAGATCAGCTAAGGTGAGGAGGGGAAGGGGGGGGGGGGAGAATGAATGCAAGTGGAAGAGAAGGAGACAAAGTGATTGGGACTCAGCCTTTGTGGTTTCATCTTCTGACAGGGAACTCGGCCCAAAATGGGACTGGCTGTGCCATTTCCCCACCTTATGCCTTTCTCTACTACACTGTATAGCAGGGGCCTTCAAACCTGGCCCTTTTATGACTTGTGGACTTCAACTCCCAGAATTCCTCAGCCAGGCAAGCTGGCTGGGGAATTCTGGGAGTTGAAGTCCACAAGTCATAAAAGGGCCAAGTTTGAAGACCCCTGCTGTATAGAATCGCAAGCCTCCCAGAATCACTTGGCTGAGATGAGCAGCTATAGAAATGGAACAAATGAATGAACGAACAAATAAAGGAATAGACTTAAGTTTGGGAAGAGTTGCCAGCTCTGACTTGCAAGAATATGGGGGTGGCATACTCTGAAGGCAAAAATAAAAAATAAAAATGCATCCTTTTTTCTTACTTGCCATCAGACTCTTCCCTCTGTAGTGAAGAGAACAGAGTTTTTCCCCTTAACTCTGCAGCATCTTCCACTGCCTCCAAGATACTTAGTACTGTACACACAAAGCAGGCCTTAAGCAGAGAAACTGTTGATGCCAAATCACAGAATATACCTCAAAAGTTAATTTTAAGTAAGCTTCAGCACACAACACCTTCCTTCTGATAGTTCTGTCTTTGTTGTTTCCTCAGGAGCAAAACCCCCCATCACCAAGAATACATTCTGGACCATTGAATGTAAAAATGCTAACAAAAAATAACCCATTTTCCTTTTCTAGAGATCAAAGATCATGTGTATGATAACATGTTGAAGGATGAGCACTCTCATGCTCACAAACACAAAACAATATACTCCAGTGGATTTTTTTTACTCAAGGGCCACAGAAAAGCTCCCACCCCAGGTTCTGGCATTCTGCTTCCTTCCCCAAAGATGCTCACTCACTGTGCCGCAGACTTTCACGTCATGCAGTCGTCCCCATTCATCCTCATAGCTATCCACCATCATAATGCTGTCATCTTCCTCTTCACTGCCCAGCTCTGCATGGAGATGGAGCCGGACTTCTTCACCCAGTGAATGCATCCCTACGGCTGGGAAGAGACCTTCTGGTGAGAGTGGCATTATTGTTGAGCCCACCTGTTAAGAGGAGGCAACAGTTACATAGATTAGATCAGTTTAATCTATCTAGGTAATCATACCAAAAAGCCATTCTACAGACTGTACAGAATGAAGTAGCAGAATTAGCTGGCAGAGATCTTGGGTTGTACCATTCTGGACTGCAAGTGGAGGGGGAGAAACATAATTTGAATTCTTTCATCCAATTAAAAAAGAAAGATGCAGATTTTTTTTCCTGGTATGGCAAGTTTCTTATACCTAAGTATACAGTCCTTTTGAGTGTGAAACTATTTAAAAAAAATGCAAACTAACTCATTATTTGTCGGCCCTAATTTGTATAATCCATAGTTCTGTCACATTCACATTCTATTTAACTTTGGTAGAATGGTTTCAAGAATGACATGCAGGAGACCCTGGATCAAATAAAATCCTAGTCATGATTTTAAGTGGATTACTTTGGGGAAGTCACTCAGTTTATTGGGGTGGAGGTGGGAACATGCTCATCTCTCATTTATGTTCTATGTTCACTTACCCTCCCAACTATTTCACTTGGAGTATAAGACAAGGTACATGAGATTCCCAGGCAGCTGTCCCATCAAAACACCAAACCCAACCCACATATCCTTTGGTTTAGCAACATTGCTGCAGTAGGTACCTTCAGCGCAATAGCAATAGCACTTAGTCTTGTATACCACTTCAGAGTGCTTTTACAGCCCTCTCTGAGCAGTTTACAGAATCAGCATATTACCTCCCAACACTCTGGGTCCTCATTTTACTGACCTCAGAAAGATGGCAAGCTGAGTCAGAACTTACCCTTTTTCCATTTTTGGTGAAGAATATCTGTGCTGTCTGGACTTCAAAGGACACTGGCTCAATCCCACAGCCTATCCGGTCCCCAGAATTGCATTTTGTCCCAAACTGACGTCCCTTGGCTCGACCATTGTAAAGTCTGGATAAGGCAAATCTCAGGTAAAATCTCTGTAAATCTCACAGAGAACTTTAAACAACTAATCAACAATATGCTAATGTGATATGATGCTCAATTAACAATAGTATAATTAGATCTGCTTTGTAATCCTAGAGAAGGTGCCCCTAGTTTGACAGCCACAAATCTATTTCATCTTGTTTTTCACAAGTTGAAATACTATCTTCTATTCCAGTTTCTTACACATTCACAAGATAAAACATACACACACACAAACACACATATATATATATATACACACACATACATATAAAATCTCTATTCTCTGCTAAATGCAGACAGGTGTCATGTATGCACTTTAAAACCATGGATCTTGTAGAGACTCACAGTTCTCATCCACATTTAGGCAGTCCAGCCAGTGGTCATCAAAGTTGTAAGCCAATATTTAATTGACTGTGGTTTCTTTAACTGAGGTACAGCCTGACATATTCCTTACACCTGTCTAGACAAAGCAACATACACAGGAGGAGTGTTATGTCTGGTCTGCCAAGCTTGTTAACTTACTTGCCATCATCAGCATGATAGGCAACTGAATGCGGTAGCCATCCAGGCTGATGGTCCAAACTGTAATACTGAGGCACCAGCCCTACTGCAATGGTCCCACGCACACCACTGTCCACAATTGATACCTAGAACAAGTTGAAAGAATGGATGCATCAAAACCTTTCACCCGGGCAATTTTTTCCAAGGATGATGACTATGTCTTTACAAAACATGAAGCCAAGGACTGAATATATCTCATTTTACTAATTGCCTGAACAAAATCCAAGGATAAATAATATAATGTAAGACATCCATCTCATTTGTCCCACCGAGGCAGGAAAGTAGTATTTAAAAGAATGAACTGTAAGCCAAAAAGTTCCCAGGACAACCTTTCCTGACATGAACTCTGTAGCTGCTTTAAGCTACATCACTCAACCTCCCCATTAAAGTACCCTTTGTTCCTAATCCTTACTAGAAACCTTGTGCATACCTATATAATTCTGATTTTGCAGAGGGTTTCTAGAAAGGATTCCAGATGGCAAGCATATAAATTAATTGAAAAGTAATTTAATGCATTTTTTAAAACTCGAGAGATAATTTAGGACCTCTGTAAAGCCCTGTTAAGTGGCATGCTGGTTACAACTAACAAGAAGCCAGACGGAAGGCATCAAGGTGTGGAATGTTTGTATAAAGGCTAAGAGAATATATTTTGATTAGCTGTTTTCCACATTATTTAGAACCATCTCCCCTGCACCTCTTTGCTCATGAGGATCTACAAAGCAGGCTTCTAAATACTAGAGATGGATTCACAACACAATATAGTGTTCCCGTTTTCATGATGGCAGCCAACTGCTTTGTTAGAAGTTAGAAGTTCAGTATTCATGCACAGTGGCTTATTATACAAGGAAATTATTGAACAAGGAAGTTATTTCCTTCCAACTTTCTTGCTCAGCAAAATTATCTTTCCGATTCTTCTAGGAAACCTTTTTCCTGATGATTTCCAACTATACTAGAGTTATATCTCAAAGCATTCCCAATTGTCCCACTAAGTTGGGAATTCCAGGAGCGTATTCCTGACACATCTGGAAAGTCTCAGGTTGCAAAAGCCTACCTTCAATACTGATTTATAGCTAGGGAAAAGCTGGAGAAAAGTTTCCTGAAACATTAGCAGTCTACATAAAAATTCACTGTCCAAGAGAAGATTCATAAAATGTTTGAGCTTTGCAGCTCATCTGGTCCAAGGCTGCACAACCATTTTGGGCCAAGGGCTATTGAGTGACAGATCACAGGATGTATCCCCAAATGTTGACAGAACCGGGGGGGGGGGGGAAACCCTTTCAATTATATTCTGTTAAATTTAATTTAGCTGAATGAACTAAATATAGTTCAAAGATTTGCTCCTTTATATTTAGTAATGTTTCTCTTCTATCTCATTAAAAAAAATGAACAAAAAAAATTACCCACAATCAAAGGCAACCTATTCTATAAATATCTCCTCTTGTTGGAAGATCTTTTAAAATTATTCTGTTTAGCAAAACTCTGCCTCTGTATAACCAGTATCAAATAGTTCTAAGTTTTCTCTCTCAAGTAATAAAAAGAGAAGGAAGGACAGTATGTCGGAGAGGGTCTTCGCTAAGAGTAATGTTGAAAGAGACTTCCAAGATGGTGAGCCAAACTGGTTACCTCAAAATAATTGTTGTCTTTGGTCAGCGGACGAGGAGCAACGTAACAACCAACTTCTCCAGAGTTCCCATGGTAACTGCAGAAAAGATACAAAGGTTCTCCAATACTTAAACCAAAATGTATGACATTACAAAAGGACAAAAGACAAGAATAGATATCTGATGCCAAGGAAGATACAAAGTCTAGGCCAAGGGGTCTTCAAACTTGGCCCTTTTATGACTTGTGGACTTCAACTCCCAGAATTCCTCAGCCAGCATGCCTGGCTGAGGAATTCTGGAAGTTGAAGTCCACAAGTCATAAAAGGGCCAAGTTTGAAGACCCCTGATCTAGGCTATAGATAACTAATCTTCAGGGCTCAACATTCTGTCCACCCCTAAAAAATATTTATATTTAACTGGCCAGAAGCACCTTCAAGAGAAAACAAATAACATTCTAGCCTAGGGATACTTAGTGATCCTCAATATTTGGTTTCCGAGGTTTCTGTGCTTAATAGCAACAAGAGGAATTAATCTCTCCCGAAGTCATTTCGGACAGATAATGGGAACCAGAGTTCGCCAATTCTTTTTTTTAAAAAAAAAAAAGATTTGCAGCTTTTTAGATAACAGTTTGGAATCAAAAGTGTAATGGGATTCAAAAATCTCTCTTTGAGGGAGATGAGCAGTTCAGAAATGTGAAAAATAAAATAAATATATCTTGTGTCATACTCATATGCCAATATAAGCACTAAGATTCCCAGTAGAATTTAATTATCCAAAGAATGGCAAGAAACGGAGCACAATTAAGCATTCCATCATCCTTGCAAAAGATGGGATAACACACATCCCTCCCCAATTAATGTTGCTGTTGTAAGATGACTGTAAACAAGATCTCACAAAAACTAACTAGCAAAGAGGGCTGCTAACGGTTGCTACCTCCGATTTAAAACTACAGAATTCACATTGCTCAAACACATACATACATACATAATATGAGTGTATATACTCATATGCAAAAACCCAGCAAAGAAATGCAAAATTAAACCATGGAATACTTATTATAATTTGAAACACTTATCTTCTTTTATTAGGATAAAAGAACGCTTGTAGGCATTATTTTATCAGCCTTTATGTTAGTTTATTATGGTCATATTAGGGAAGGGGATCAGCTGCTTGGACTAGTCTCTGCAGTTGTCTTTGCAGCATTTTAGGAAGTCACAAGAATGATTGGGCCCAAGGTCATCCAGCTGGCTTTGTGCCTAAGGCAGGACTAGAACTCATGGTCACCCCATTTCTAGCCCGAGGCCTTAATCACTACACCAAACTAGCTCTTATTAGGGTCACTAGAGTTAAAGATGCTTTGGAGGTTAGCCAACGTATTAAAGAAATATGAAATGATATACATCTTCAAAATCAAATCCACATTTTGGTCAGGAGACTAAAATATTCTGAAATCATTGTTATAAGAAATGCTATTCAAGCGGTTAAAATAATTTTTTGAATGTAACTATAAAACATTCTTTGTCTTTAATTGCTCATATTTATTCAATGGATTTGTTCTTCCACAGTCACTTCAAAAAACTGTAAACATTAAACCTTTTTTCAGAAAAAGGAGACATTCTAAATGTGCTTGAGTAGTAGAATATGTACTCTCCCTATGCTGAGCACTCTCTGCTCGTCATTTAAATATTTGATAGACATCCCTCATTCAAGTTTCTTTCAACATTCAAACATCACAAACTACCTTAATGTGTCTCCATCAACAAGGATATGCTTGAACCTCTCTTGGTAACGAATGGCTCGCACCTCTCGAATCTCCCGGATCCTCCTCCTCCAGTTTAAAAATCTGTAGTGCAGGTTTAAATCATCCATTATAGCTGTAACGATCTACCTATGGGAAATGAGTGTGTTTAAACATCCGAAGAAATGGCACAACACATTCCAGAATCCGGAGATTCTAGCCAGGTTGTTGTAAAACGTGGCTTTATTACGGCCAACTCCAATATTCCTTAACCTTATAGAAATAGGCAAGCTAGACCACTCAGATGCTTTAGGCCAGGGGTCCCAAACTTGGCCCTTTTATGACTTGTGGACTTCAACTCCCAGAATTCCTCAGCCAGCTTTTGGGAGTTGAAGTCCACAAGTCATAAAAGGGCCAAGTTTGAAGACCCCTGCTTTAGGCCAGCAGTCCCCAACCTTTTGGGACCGGTTCCATAGAGAGAGGTTTTTCCGCGGATCAGAAAGCATGTAGTATTGCGTGCTGCCTGCTTCCCATGGATGGGGCTTTGTTTGTTTGCATGGCCCAGTTTCTGGCATGCCTTGGACTAGTACCAGTCCACAGACCGGGGGTTGGAGATCCCTACTTTAGGCTACAATCCTGAGAAGCTCTGATCACTCACAGTGGGGGCTATGGCTATCTAAGATATCTCAAGGATTTCAACCTAATGTACTTGGTGGTAATATCAAGCTTGTATATAACCAAAATAAATTCAATACTCATTGATCCATGAAGATTCTCAATTAGATATAGATTAATAGATTTTGATTCTACTATCCCAGTTCAGTCAGCCTCCAATAATCATGAAACTACTGACACAATATATTTTTGAGGGATTATTCTAATCAGTACTATAAATATCAAGTTCTGTAATGTTACAAAAACAGATATAAATTGCACATTTTCTAAGTACATTTAGTTATAAAACCTGTTTGGGGATAAATTACTTCTCAAAACCTTGCCACTTGTATAATTTGCTTTCGTTTGCCATCAAGATTGCTCCCATTTCAGCATTTCATTTTATATTAACCTAGTGAAATTAGAATATTTGTTATTATTATACACTCTAAGATCAATAGAATGATGCTTAAAAATACACACACAAGGAAGGTAGGATCCCCAGGAAATAAATCAATGCCATTCAGTGACTTCCATGGAAAACCATGAATTTTATTTAGGTCTTCCTGGTCCACAGTTAGCATTTCAACTAGGCCAAATATTGTCTCATAATATCTTAGAGCTTGGCCAGTCCAGACTCAACTTTTTCCCTGCTCCACATCTTTTTCCCTGCTCCATGTCTTTACCACCTACATTTGAAATGTTACCTGTCAGTTTTGTTTGGGTCCTATATGCAGCTGTTAAGATCTGTCTATCCCTAGCTATAACACTACTTAGACCGGGGCATGAAAACTTTTGAAAATTAGAAACTGAATAACTTGGGAGTGAGGCTGCAATAGGCAAAGCAATATGATGAAGTCCATCTGGCAGGTCCATATCAGACATCCAGAAACTTTTCCAGATTTTGTGGGACCTTTTTTTCTTTTAAAATGTGGCAAGTCTAAGAGTGGCACAACCTTTTTCAACTTCAAATGGCAAGAAATTGCACTTCCAGTTTTCAGCAAGCAGCTGAAATGTGGCAGCTTGTTAGGATGGCTCTACAAGCCCCCCCAAAAGGGGCCTCAGGAGCCATATGTGGCCTTATTCCACCCTAGAAGTAGAAATGTTTTTCCTCTTACAGAAAGAAGTTGTCCATCTAATTCAATATTGTTGAGAGCTGACTAATAGCTGGCAGTATTTCTTACAAGAATTCTTCCAATCTTATCTGGACTAAACTTATTCTACATATAGTACAAAGTCCACCAACGCCATCTAATTATACTTTCTCTTCCTGCACCAACTGCTTTTTTTCTAGCATAACCAAATTCTTCCCTATTAGCTTGGCTAGCTTAGGTTGTAGGAGCTAAGTAGAGCAAAACTGGAAGTCATCTTAAATTTGCTCTGTAAAAATCCAGCTGACCACTAGATGGGAGCAACCGGTTCAAATTGCTGTCTCTTTGCTGCCATTTAGTGGTCCTCCAGATGTTTGCAGATAACATGTTGTAGCTCTATCTTTTAGTCAGCAGGTGACAGTAATCCTGTGATACAAGCAGTGCTTTTTTTCTATATAAAAAAAAAAAGGTGCCGGAACTCACACACATCATACAACCTGCCTTGCCTACCCTACAAGGTTCCATCCCAAAAAGGTGCTGGAACTCCGTTCTGGGCGTTCTATGAGAAAAAAATATCCCTGGATACAAGAGTATTATTATAGTAGTTAGAACAGTAATGGGGATACACTACAATTAAACTTCATTAAAATCTCTCTTTTTTGGGGGCTAGAAAGTTCAACCATATAGCCTTATGGTGGTCTGTATTTCTTCACCAAATGTATCTCCTGTTATGAAACTAAAATGTCACCTTAAATTCCCTGGAAGGAAGAGAAAAAAAGAAGAAGAAATGAAATTAATTCAACACACCCATTATACCCTATTTTCCCCCATTCTAATCCCAGGGTTTCCGTTGCTGCCTTCGGAGCGCCAAGTGCTGAACGTACAGCATAGCAAGGGAAACAGTGCCTCTGAGAACATGCAGAAGGTCTGCCCCGATCATTAAATACAGGCCGAGGCTTCCAGGGAGGAAAAGGACCCGTGTCAGCCCCCTTGCACCATTTTTTGGGGACTATTAGGAAAATGACTCTCCCCCCCCCCCGCCGGCCATCGCTTTCCACAGCTGTCCGGCATTCAAATCCAGAGGAAACCGTGACCCTCACCCTTCACAGCCAGCCTCTCACGCCCTCGCCGACATCCTGGAGCCGCGAGGAGCTGCTCCACCGCCCCTGCACAAGATGCCTCCCCGGGGACCCCTCGCTCCCTGCTGCCCCGAACCGTCGCTCCGATGCCCAAGGCGGCCCTTACCCCGAGAGGCCCTGGCTCTCCCTCCATCAGCCCCGCCCTCCGCAGCCTCGCTTCTCCCGCGGCTATTAACTCAGCCGCTTCCCGGCTAGGTTGACTTGCCACCCTGTTCACATCCGGGCTTCCCAGCTTTCCCCGCCCTTTCTCCCGCCTATCACCGCTTGCTCGGCCAACCTCCAAGCCGCTGTCGCCGCGCCCGGGCGCCGCCGGAAGCCAATGAGAAGCTTGAGGAGGGCGCGTCGTCTCGCCTCCCGGAACTGGCGAAGGAAGTTAGTGAATGGGGGGCGGCGAGGGGAGCTGTGCGGAAGGTATGAATGGAGAGCGGGTGACGCCGTGCTACGGGGGCGGGGGGTTCGGCCCGCCGAGCTCGCCTGTGTGACGTAAGGGAAAGGCGGCGGAGCGGTGGCCAGAGGTTGCTGAATGGCAACAGGGTGGAGACGGGGGGGGGCTGAATCCACCTCGCGCCTTCTAGGTGTATTACTGCACCTTCCGACAACGCCATTGGCTGGGGAAGATTAAAAATCTGCACCCGGGGGCGGGGGGGGGGCGCCTGGCACAGGTTACCTAAGGACTGTCGTATTGTCACCTATTCTAAAAATCTGTTGCTCATGTTTTATATAGAGCGTGTCTTTGTCACAGGCTCAAATCGAGCCATGTGTTACGGAGAGCAGCGGAGGCTCTTAATCCAAGCCTCGCATACGAAGGTTGGAAGTACGATTCAGGATTTGAAACAAATACTGTTCATTCAGAGGGGGGGGGGTGTGCTGTAGCCATTATGATATTGAGCTACGATTGGGGAGACCAGGGTTCTAATCCAGCCTCGGTTATGGAAGCTCACAGGATAATTTTGGCTAGTCAATCTCTTTTTAACCCAACCTACCTTACTCCTGCGAGTCCCTTGGACTGCAAGGCATTCAAACCAGTCAGTCCTAGAGGAGATCAACCCTGACTGCTCTTTAGAAGGCCAGATCCTAAAGTTAAAGCTCAAATACTTTGGCCTCCTAATGAGAAGGAAGGACTCACTGGAGAAGAGCCTAATGCTGGGAAAGATTGAGGGCAATAGAAGAAGGGGACGACAGAGACTGAGGTGGCTGGATGGAGTCACTGAAGCAGGAGGCATGAGCTTAAATGGACTCCAAGAGATGGTAGAGGACAGGAAGACCTGGAGGAACGTTGTCCATGGGGTCGTGATGGGTCGGACACGACTTCGCAATTAACAACAACAAACCTTACAGGGTAGTTGTTGTGGGGAGAAAGAAGAGGAAGGGGCACCTAGACTCTCTGTTTCAAAAAGGAAGGATATCAATATAATAACTTGATGTTACAGTATGGCTCATGGGACACAGTAAACGCCAAAGGGTTAATTCCTTTTATTCTTTCCTCACTTGCGGGGGAGGGGGGAAGCTATATTAACATGCAATACAATAAAAAGAAGAGGCCGGAAGCTCAAATGAACTTTTTTTTTGAAGAGTTTTAAGAAAACCCTAGCTTTAAGAAATGCATAGTGCTCATTTTCCCCTAGAAGGATTTTGGGATCTGTGCAGATAGAGAAGCCAAACAGGGATTTCTTAACAGAAAGTACATATTCAATATGTTCACAAAATATAATATTCTGAATTCTTGTGCAGAACAGATGTCAGCCTTGTGCAAATTCCCACAATCCACTATTGTTCCAGTGCTGAGTTTTAGAATCAGCTTCTGCTCAAACCTGGAACTTCTGAAACTTGTTTTTAAACTGCTATGGCAGAGATGAAAGCGTCTGGTGAGGTCATCTAGAAACCAGTGTCATACAGTGATTACCTAATGCTGCTATTTTATAATGAAACCATGCTGGGTTTTAATGTAGAACAATCTACATTAACCTGTGGCTACGTTCCACAACCTGGAAGTAATTGTTTGATAGATCTCTGCAACTCAAAAGCCACTACAATTTCCCATCTAGATTCATCCCTAATATTTCTCTTCTTACTCCTCCTTGCCGTTATCCACCATCCCAACTTTTTGATAAGGAAAGCATTGTTACACCCTCCCCAAAAGTTGAGTTTCATTTCTGACTCATTCTCCTTCCCCCCCCCCCCCGCTGTTTCAACCATACCTCCTGCATCTTAAATGTAATGTTGCTGCTTTTGCTATTCTTACAAAGAACA